GCCGTGGGTGTGCGCCATAAACAAAAAATCTAGGCGCCTGCATAGCATTGTGGGAACGCCGGCTCAGTCACCCTTGTTCACCATGCCTCGTCGCAAGTCAGCTCTCACTCCCCAGAAAATTGGGACTCTCCTCTTCCTGTCTGATAGTTCTGACACTGATGGAAGTGCAAATGAAGACGAATTCTACGGCTTTGATAAGTTAGTGACCGAAAATAATGACCAGGATATCGATAATAGTGCAGAAAACCCCGACAATCCTCGACCTTCTACCTCTGGTGTGGGCACTCGTGACTCACGGTCGGGTGTTCCTAAACGTAAGAGAAAACTAATATTTTCGCGTGGCCAGGCCTCTGACTTCAGTAATGATGATGATTCTGACGTGGATTGTGATTTTATTGCGCTCGACGATCATTCGAGTAGTGATAGTGAGGAATCATATTCACCAGTGAAGCGTCGGTATGTTTGCCGCCGCATGCGCTCGGGTAGTGTACCCTATGCTGTGCCCAGGGGACGGAGTACATCCCGGAGTACATCCCGTGGCCCTACACCCGTTTTAGGTAGTGATAGTGAGGATGATGTGGCTACACTTGGCATGGATGGGCCACAGGCATCAGTGGATGGTGTTAGTGGTGCTGGTGGTGGTAGTGGCACCGCCATGCGTGACTCACCGTGCCACGCGGGGACCCACGCTGCTGACTCATCAGTTCAAGGACAAAGCGGAGCGTCAGCCACCAGCCCGCCACAACCACAACCACCCGTACAACCAGCCTATGATGTCCAGTATCCACCACAAAACCGTATGTGGGATTGGCAGCAAAATCCCAATTTTGTTCCCAAGCCTCACCACTTTGATGACTCTCATAGTGGAATTCTACCTACCTGTCCCCTTGGAACCACAGCCAATGAACTGGAATTCTTTGAATTATTCTTTGACCAGCCATTGATGGAAATTATTGCCAGGGAAAGTAATAAGTATTTCAGTACACCATGGCAAATACGATCTTATCACCACAGTCAAGACTACACAGGTGGAAATGAGACGACTGTTGCAGAAATGTTATTTGCTTTTTGCAACAATAATGCTTATGCCTCACGTTCTATAGCATAATATAAAAGCATACTGGTCCACAGATCGGCTAATTCTACCCATCCTTCAGTGAAATAATACCAGTGAACAGGTTATCTTACTGTTACGTATGTTGCACTTCTCTGACAAAACCAGCCTGACAGAAGTGACAGGTTATACAAGATTAGAAATGTTTTCATGTATCTCAAACAAAGTTCAGGATATACTTTTATCCATTCAAGATCTTGTAATTGAAGAGTCTTTGATTTTGTTCAAAGGTAGACTGTCATTCAAGCAGTATATACCGAGCAAGAGGAACCGCTTTGGTATAAAATTGTTTGTACTCTGTGATTGTGACAGTGGCCTGGTGTTGGATATTGTTGTATACACGGTAGTAAAACATTGAAAGATACTAAGATGTTATTGGGTATCTCAGGTGACGTAGTGAGAAACATGATGGCACTTATCTTGGTAAGGGCCATACATTATATACCGATAACTGGTACACAAGCCCATTACTCAGTGATTTCATGCGAGTGAACAAGACGGATGTGTGTGGCACAGTGCGTTCTAATCGTAAACATATGCCCAGGCTCAACGCAGGTGTTCGTGGTGATGACGTGCAGGTGTTTACTGCAATGACATCATGGCATTACGGTGGCATGACAAACGAGATGTCACATTGTTGACAACCATTCACCGTAATGAAATGCAAGACAGTGGCAAAGTTGATCGAGTGGACTAATGAACGTATTCGAAAACCAGTGTCAGTGATTGATTATACACAAACATGCGCTTGGTTGACAAGTGTGATCATGCAGATTGGTTTTGTTGACTGTGTTCGTAATAGTTACAAGTGGTACATGAAACTTTTCTTCCATCTCATGGACATTTCAATGCTGAATGCATATAATATGTACCAAATAAAGACTGGTAACAGACCACCATATGGTGAATTTTGTTTGTCTGTTGTCAGACAACTCATAATGAAGTACCAGGTAACAGCACCTGCAATAACAACATGGTCCTCGAATTCATCACGATATACCCAAGCGTTTGAGGAGAGAGGTGATCATTCATAATACAGCTTCCTTCAACTCAAAGAATTTGCTCAGAAGAGATGCATTGTCTGTGCACAAACAAAACGACGGCAACAAAGACGCAAAGACACTCGGTTTATGTGTGAGGAATGTAAGGTGCCTCTGTGCATGGTGCCTTGTTTCAAGGAGTTCCACAAGCTCCAGCAGTTCTAAAACCATGTCCAGTGATTGTAAATATGTAAATATATGATAGAACATTAGTATTATACAATATTTGTGCATGTTTATTGTAATAAACAACAGTGGTAAACAATAATATGATAATAACTTTAGTGCGGTTATTGTGTTCAATACAGTGAGTTTATATATATCAATTATATACAGTATTGGTCTCTCAGGCCCCAAATGTTAGTAGGAATAGAAAAAATTTGGAAAAGAAAAGAAAAAACAACTAAAACAACAAAATAATATAATACGCGTATGTGGAATTCGTCGATGTTGCCACCACCACATCATTTTCTATAAACTTCTTGGCACTGTATCTCGGTAAGTACTGATCAGATTCTATTTTTTTTTGTTTTATTACCTTCACAAAAATATGCTCTTTAATTCTGTAAGAAAAAATAATTTTTTTTTTTCAAAATTTCTTGGACACTGGTGCGTGACTTCAGATTTTGGCCTTGGACCCTGAAAGGGATAAATACGTCAAAAACACTGGCTCGTAAAACGTATATATATGACCGAAACAGTCAAAGGGTTAAAGAAACTTTAAAAGGTGTCACAAAGTTCCAATTCAAAATATTCTAGGCAAAACTCAAGTGAAAAAATGAAATGAAAATGTGACATTAAAACTAGAGGAGCACTACAGTAGGTCTACTAGCCCATGCTAAGCAGGTCTTACTCAGATTCAATTTTCCTCATTCATATATTTGACCAATGTATGCTTAAAGCTGCCCAGTGTTGTAGTTTCAATGATCAAATGCAGAAACAAGGCAGGCCAGGCCAGACCAGGCCAAGCAGCATTCTCCACCTGACCACAGCATTCTGAACCTGGCTATGGGTGCTCGCATACCTTCCACCCAGGTAGATCTGTTTGTGGCTTGAAGGGGCCCACTGTGTGGGTGAAGCATTGTCGGTAGGGGATCACATTGTACTGCTTATGTGTTTATATTTCCTACCTAGTTGGGTTATTGAGGCTAAAACCTTGGGTAGTTTCAAATATAGGTTGGATAAATACATGAGTGAGAAGGGTTGGATTTGAGTGGGACTTGCATATGAGAGTGGATAGAGTTATCAGAGCTTATTTCTTGGGTGGCATTGAAAATTGGGTTGGGCAAATGTTTTGTTAGTGGGATGGATTGTAAGGGACCTGCCTAGTATGGGCCAACAGGCCTGCTGCAGTGTTCCTCCTTTTTTATGTTCTTATGTTCTAAGCCAGCAGGACAGGATAGGCCAGGCAAGCACGACAGGTAGGCCAGGCAAGCACAACAGGTAGGCCAGACAAGAAGGACAGGGTAGGTCACATAAGCAGTACAGGGTAGGTCAGGCAAAGAGTACAGGGTAGACCAGGCCAAGAGTACAGGACACATATGCAAGTCTTGGGTATCTTTTTTGAGGAAACGTTTCGCCACACAGTGGCTTCATCACTCCATACAAAGGAGAATCTTGAAGAACAGGAGGAGAATGAGGTAATCAGTCCCTCAACCTTGAGTCGATGTGGTCAGTCCATCAATCTTGAATAGAATACGGCATACGTGCAGCAGTCATAGGTGGTGTCACAAATGTGACACCACCTATGACTGCTGCACATCTCCTACCAACAGTTTATAAGCTCCTTCTCTGCACGTATGCCGTATTCTATTCAAGATTGATGGACTGACCACATCGACTCAAGGTTGAGGGACTGATTACCTCATTCTCCTCCTGTTCTTCAAGATTCTCCTTTGTATGGACTGATGAAGCCACTGTGTGGCGAAACGTTTCCTCAAAAAAGATACCCAAGACTTGCACATATGTCTAATTTATCAACATGTCGGTTCTCTGAACCATTCATCTACAAGAGTACAGGGTAGACCAGGCAAGCAGGACAGGGTAGGCCAGGCAAGCAGGACAGGGTAGGCCAGGCAAGCAGGACAGGGTAGGCCAGGCAAGGACAGAGCAGGCCAGGCAAGCAGGACAGGGCAGGCCAGGTAAGCAGGACAGAGCAGGCCAGGCAAGCAGGACAGGGCAGACAAGGCAAGCAGGACAGGGCAGGCCAGGGCAGGCTAAGCAAGCAGGACAGGTTAGGCTAGGCAAGCAGGACAGGGCAGGCCAGGCAAGCAGAAGGTAGACCAGGCAAGGAAGAAGGGAGTGCAGGCTTGAGCAGGGCAAAGCAGTCAAGAGCAGGCCAAAACAGGGCAGGTCAGGCTGGGTAAGGAAAACATGGGAGGCAGGGAATGCAGGGCAAAGCAGGGCAGAAAGTGCAAGGCAGGGTAGGCCAGGGAGGGCCTACTCACGTCCATGTTTCTCTGGCAGAGATTGATAAAGAAATATAGATTTAATAATTAATATTTATGTACTGTTGTTGAAGACTGTCCACGTCTAGGACACTTATGTAGCTGGAGGATGGGGAGGATGTAGGGAGGGATGGGAGAGGAAGACAACACTCACTCACCTACACCATGAGGTGTCTGGCATACAACACATTTTTTCCATACAGTCTGCACTTCACAATGCTATTTTACATTACCCACCAATTTCCAGGAATGTAAAGCACATAATATGAGAGTTATGAGAATAATTCCTTAACATATCTTGTCACGAGTAACAACCATAAAGAAGTAATGATGTTGATGTTTTATTATGCAGTAAAAGGGTTAGGTGGTAAAATTAATTAAATTAAAAAAATATATTACCATGTATATGCCAGGAGAGGAGGAACTTGAGGCGGGACCAGCAGGACAGTAGCCATGACCTAATTTGTGCCAGCATCCGGGGGGCTTCTTCATCCTTGAACCAGCATCCTGTTGCCAGCAAGTCTGACCCCATTCGCTGTGGAGTTGCCACCTGACACACATCACAAATTGTAGTAAGAAAGCAGATGACTGCCAAAAACTTGAGGAAAATGGACAGGAAACATTAACAGTTTTCAAGGACAGCTCACAATGGTTTGCTAAAACAATTATGAAATTTACATCATTACAAATAATATATTATGAATGCTGTAAGTTATAAAAATTTTTATTGCTATTTCTTAACATACTGGCTGTCTCCGAGTCAGAGTGAACAAAAAATAAACAAACACATTCACGATCATTCATTCAATAGCTGTTTTGTCAGAAGTTCACAGACATCACAATTCAAATGACCCTCTGATCTTCAATATTCCCAGTGAACTTTTAGAATGCCAGCACTATACTTCCCACCTCCAGAACTCAAGTCCAGCTGACCATTTTCTCTGAAATCTTTCATAAATTTACCTTGCCTCACACTAACAGCATGTGAAACTATAAAAACTACTTATTGCAACTCACTCTGATCTAGCATGCTCATACAAAACTGCTAGATGCTAAAGCCCCCAGCCCTACAACCCTTCCAGAGACAACCCCTGCCCCTCCTTTCCTTCTACCCCAGATTTATACAACTTGGTCATCCTAGTCTGCTTCACCCAAACCACTTTAGCAACCCCTCCTCAGCCCTCTGAATTATGCCTTTAGTAATCCCCACATCATCTAATTTCTATGCTCCAAATTTTCTGCATAACATTCATACTGTACACTGCTCTAAACATGACAGTGCCATTTTCTCCAGCTTCCTTGCTGTACCCATTAAAGCTCATGACACACACTCATATAAAATTGTTGGTGTTACTATATTCTGGAATGTACATTCCGTGAATGACCCTCTCCTACCCAGGGAGCCAATGTTGGGTCACCAATTGAAAGAGACCCGGGCCAGGCATACTGGCACACCTCATCATCATCATGTACATGCCTTGTTTATGCCTCCATTGATAAACTTTCCATAGTGCTTTCCATATATTTTTTTTGAACACGTCGGCCATTTCCCACCGAGGAAGGCCGACTCAAAAAGAAAAAAAGACAGATCCATAAAGAAAGAAAAACTTTCATCATTCAGCATTTTCACCATCACTCATACATAATCACTGTCTTTGCAGAGGTGCTCAGATACAACATCTGAGATGTTACTCCAAATTGCCAATATCCCAAACCCCTCTTTTAAAGTGCAGGCACTGTACTTCCCATTTTCAGGACTCAAGTCCAGTTAACCAGTTTTCCTATATCCCTTCACAAAATATTACCTTGCTCACACTCCAACAGCTCATCAGGTCCCAAAAGCCATTCATCTCCATTCACTGCTAATTAACATGCTCATGCACACTTCCTGGACGTCCAAGCCTCTTCCCCACAAAACTTCCTTTACCCCCTCCCTCCAACCTTTTTGGAGACCCTTACCCCGCCTCCTTCCCCTACAGACTTATACGCTCTCCAAGTCATTCTACTTTGTTCCATTCTCTCTAAATGACAAAACCACCTCAACAGCCCTTCTTCAGCTCTCTGACTAATGCTTTTAGTAATTCCACACCTCCTAATTTCCACACTACGAATTCTCTGCATAATATTTACACCACACATTGCCCTCTCGACTGCCTCCAGCTGCCTCCTTGCTGCAGCATTTACATCCCATGCTTCACACCCATATAAGAGTATTGGTATCACTATACTCTCGTACATTCCCTTCTTTGTCTCCATGGATAACATTCTTTGTCTCCACAGGTACCTCAACGCACCACTCACCTTTTTTCCTTCATCAATTCTATGGTTTACCTCATCCTTCATAAACCTATATGCTGACAAGTAAACTCCCATATACAGTGAACCCCATGTTTTGGCGACCACAACTTTCGTGAAATCCGACTTTTGGCAAAATATGGCCTCGCAGTTCGTGATTTGTCCATTGTATGGGATGCGTCCGTGCAGCCAGGAGCGGCCGGGTGTATACAAAAGCTCCCACACAACATTCAGAGAGTCAGTGTGACATGATTTGTGGGCAAGTGACCATCACCCCATGGGTTCATATGATATATTTCATAATAATCCATTGTTTTTTGTGCTTGCGACTCCTAAATAAGGCACCATGGGCCAAAAGAAAGCTCCTAGATCCAGTCCTTTGGTAAAGAAGGAGAGAAACACGGTAGAATTAAAAAAAAAACTCGTAGGAAAGTACCAAAGTGGACGAGGAAGAGAGAGGGGAGAATGTGCCTTCTTCAGTGATTCAAAGATATGTACGATACTAAAGCACCAGGTATCAATAAAGGCTATAGCACCAGCCAGCGATAAAGTGTAGCAAGTAAGTTAAACGATTAAGCGATAGAAAAATGATACAAAAGTAACTCTCCAATGTTGTTGGAGGTGTATAGGGCCACTGAACATACGCCACCCTGCTATTCTCCACCACCCTAAACCTCTACCACCACCCCCTACATCAAACTAATTAAACTAACATCTCCAAGGTAAGTGTAAATATTTCTTATTTATAAATTAGTGTAAATATTTCTTATTGATAAATTAAAGTGTAAATATTTTTTATTTGTAAATTATGTACATTGTTTCAGTGTGAACAGTCGTGGTGGCGCTCTGCTGCCGCCTCCACTACCACTAATATGTACGACTTCTCTCAGTGGCCCTTATAAACCCAACACCACCAACCACCACCACCACTTATTCCTCATATATTTTATTAATTCTAGAGTATATATCATGTTTCTACATTATTAATATTGTTTATTATGTCATGTTAGATGAATTGTGATTGATAAATAAGCCATAGAGATGATATTAGCATCATACTGAAGCACAATAAACTTGTCTCCCTCTCGCCTCCTACCTGTCTGCAATATACCAACAAGAGTCTTCAATAAAGGTAAGTGTGATGTTAAATGTTCATTTATCCATTTTATTAGTACTTTATATTTATTTGTCATTGTTTTCTGTATGTAAATCTATATTTAATCTTTAAAAAAAATATTTTTGTTAATACTTTTGGGTGTCTGAAATGGATTAATTGTATTTCCATTATTTCTTATGGGGAAAATGGTTTCGCCATACATGAATTTCGACTTTCAGCACATTCTCTGGAACAGATTAATCACAAAAAACGAGGGTCCACTGAATATGAAAACATTCACTTCTTCCATACTCCCTCCCTCCAATGTGATATCCAATTTTTCTTTATCTAACTCATTTAATACCCTCATCACCTTACTCTTATCTATGTTCACTTTCAACTTTCTACCTTTACACACCCTCCCTGGTGGCTAAAGCTCTCGTGTCACATGGCGAGAGTCAGGGTTCAATTCCCGGCAAGGGTACAAACATTGGGCCTGTTTCGTTACACCAGTTGTCTAATGTTCCCCATCAGTAAAATAGATACCTGGGACAAAACTGACCTATTTTGCCCAAAATGTTATGCATAACAAGTGGCTTTCTATACAGTAGTAAGTCACTGATGTCAGCTAGGCTTGTATATCTTGTACATGTACTTGAAGAAATAAAGATATTATTATTATTATTATTACTAACTTTTTGCAACTTTTCTTTAGAATCCCCCCAAAGCACAGTATCATCAGCAAAAAAGTAACTGTGTCAACTCCCATTTTGTATTTGATTCCCCATAATTTAATCCCACCCCTCTCCCCAACACCCTAGCATTTACTTCATTTACAACCCCATCTATAAATATGTTAAACTATGGTGACATTACACATCCATGTCTAAGATCTATATTTATTAGGAAGTAATCTCCGTCTCCTACACACCCTAACCTGAGCCTCACCATCCTCATAAAAACTCTTTCCAGCATTTAGTAACTTACTACCTATTCCATATACTTGCAATATCTACTACACTGCTCCCCTATGCACTCTATCATATGCCTTTTCTAAATCCATAAATGCAATGAAAACTTCCCTACCTTCATCTAAATATTACTGTTCATATATGTTTCAATGTAAACACCTGATCTACACATCCCCTACCCATTCTAAAGCCTCCTTGCTCACCTGCAATCCTGCTCTTTGTCGTACCTCTAATTCTTTCAATAATAACCCTACTATACACTTTACCTGATATACTCAGTAAACTACTATACACTTTACCTGGTATACTCAGTAAACTTATTCCCCTATAATTTTTACAAACTCTATTGTCCCCCTTCCTTTTATATAAAGGAATTATACATGCTCTCTGCCAATCCCTAGGTACTTTCCCCTCTTTCACACATTTATTAAACAAAAATACCAACCACTCCAACACTATAACTCCCCTGCTTTTAACATTTCTGTCATGATCCCATCAGTTGCAGCTGCTTTACCCCCTTTCATTTTATGTAATGCCTCACGCACCTCCCCCACACTCACATCCTGCTCTTCTTCACTCCTAAAAGACGTTATACCTCCATAGCCAGTACATGAAATTAATGACTCCCTTTCTTCGACATTTAAAAGTTCCTCAAAATATTCCTGCAATTTATCCAATACCTCCAGCTCCCCATCTACTAACTCCCCTATTCTGTTTTTAACTGACAAATCTATTCATTCCCTAGGCTTTCTTAAGTTGTTTATCTCATTCCAAAACTTTTTCTTATTCTCTGCCAAATTTCTTGACAGTGCCTCTCCCACTCTACTATTTGCTCTCGTTTTGTACTCTCTCACCACTCTGTTCACTTTTCTTTTACTCTGCCCTTCTTGTATCACTTCTGCTTTGTAAAAACCTCTCATAAGCTACCATTTTCTCTTTTACTGCACCCTTTACCTCATCATTCCACCAATCACTCCTCTTTCCTCCTGCACCCACCCTCCTATAGCTACAAACTTCTGCCCCATATTCTAATACTGCATTTTTAAAACTATCCCATCCCTCAACAACTCCCCCTCCCCCACTACTCATGCTTGCACTAGCCCACCTTTCTGCCAATAGTTGCTTATATCTCACCTTAACTTCCTCCCCCCATAGTTTATAAACTTTCACCTCTCTCTTACTTACTGTTGCCATTTTCCTTTTGTCTCAACTACCTCTTACTTTAACTGTAGCTACAACTAGATAATGATCCAATATATCCATTGCCCCTATATAAACATGTACATCCTGAAACCTACCCATGAACCTTTTATCCACCAATACATACTCTAACAAACTACTTTCATTACGTGCTATATCATATCTTGTGTACTTATCTTCTTTTTCATAAAATATGTATTACTTATTAACAAACCTCTTTCTACACATAGTTCAATTAAAGGCTCACTATTTTCATTTACCCCTGGCACCCCAAATTTACCTACTACTCCCTCTACAATAATCACTTCCTCCATAGTCCTACCTTCCAATCTGATACTGGAGTTTTCTTGGCAAAGAGTTTTTTTACTTTTCATTACCTTGCTCTTTTCTGTGTTCACTTTTGACTTCATTCTTTAATATATCCTCCAAAATTCCTCCACCAACCTTTGCAACATCTCTTCAGAATCCCCCAAAACCAACTGTGATAACTCTAAGATATGTGGAGTATTTCATAAAGGCATCATGAATGAGGGGAAAACATTCCAAGGTGTTTCCAGATGAAAGAGAAAAATCATCTCTGATTCAGTTGGTGGGGAAAAGGTACTAACCCTGATTTTTAAAGCAGTGTTGTGTGGCATGACAACACTAAGAGTGGTGACTTTGCGTAGATGGTGCAAGAGGTCACTGCCTTTGGCCCGAAGATCGTCCCAGTGTGCTGCCCGCACCAGCACCTATGCACAACAAAGAACAGAAATAAGATATAAATAGTTTTCATTCATGCCAAACATTAGGAAGAATTCCTGAAGAGAGTTTTGGTGCTCAAGAATAACAAAATCCCAAATTATTATTAAATTATTACTGGAATGTAAATAAATTGCAGGGCTAAAGTAACTTGTCAAATGAACCAGACCTGTCCAAGGAGTAAAGGGCAGAAATGGCCTACAGATCCATCACAGCCTGGCTGGTCTGGCCCTTGGCAAAAAAGGATTTGTTGAGCTTTCTTTTGAAGACTTCTACACTTGTTCTGTGGACAAGAGTACAGGAGGGCCCTGCTTTCCAGCGCTTCACTTCATGGCAATTCGCTAATATGAACATTTCAAATTATACCCAAAAATTTATTTATGCAGCTCCATGATTTGCTTTTATGGAGTCAAAGCACCACCTATCCACTCTCAGTTTGTTGACATCCTTTGTGAGTGCTGGGGTCTCTCCCAACTGTCTGGAAACTTTACAAAATTTCAAGTGTTTTAAAGTTACTGTGTATTTTATATATACTCTTTTTGTGTTACAATGACATCTAAGGGTAGTTGTGATAAAAAGAGGAGTCGTAAGGCTCTTACTTAAAGTGCAAAGTTAGAAATGATTAAACTCAGTGAGCAAGTTATGTCAATAGCTGAGATAGTACTAAGATACTACTGATAACTGTACTTATGTGTACCTGTACCTAAATAAACTTTCTGTGCTGGCATGCAGATTCATTAACCCCTTGAGGGTCTAGATCCCTGATCTGAAACTTGTCTACAGGGTCCAAGAATTTAAAAAAAAAAATTTTGCTATTTTTTCTTATAAATGTAGAAATCCTGTTCTGAAGGTAATAAAACAAAAAGTATGAAATCTGATGGAAAATTGATGAAATTATGCTATCACGAATTTTACTGTGTCAGCGATATTTACGCATCAGTGATTCTGCTCACTTAAGAGTCCTATTTTAGGTCAATGACATTGTTCCAGTTGACCAAATTATTAGCTATTTCACTAGTATGCCTTCCATTTTATTGACTGAGCACAAGAAACTGCCTAATCAACTACTTCAGCTACCTAAAAAAGTGATCAGAAATTAGTAATTGGCCAATTTGACTCAAATTTGAAAATATTCCAATTTAAAAACAGATTCCAGAATTAACAATGCAGGCATTCCTGACACTAAAATAACATTTCTTCTGCTCATTAGTTATGTTTCCAGGCTTTACACACGAATTCCATTTTGATATTTTATTCACAAAGAATTTTTATTCACACCACAAAACAGAAGATTTACCGTTATGCAATATTGTAATAATTGTATAAATAACATCAAGGTATTTATGAACACATATCAGACCCACCAGTTGATGTGTATTAGATGCGTGATGTGATTTGTTTACTCTTGAACATCGGCAAAAATCGAACATTTTCACTACTTTGAGCTCACTTTCATGCTATTTTCCATCCTAAAGCCAATCAAAATCATCTCTAATTCTGTAATATATCTTCCATTCTATCAAATGAGACCAAGAAACTGAGAATACAACCATGAAAACCATACGAAAATACACCTCAAATTTGCTGTTTTAAGCCAAAAACACGGTCGCAGTTTTTTTTCACATTATGCACCGCATACTGCAGGATTTTTTTTGTATGGTGCACACTTATCACCGACTCATTCTCTCATAACTAGGACCAAATTTACCGCTCACACCTTATCTGAGTGAGCCGAGTTCATGGTGTAGAACTACGGCAAGGACACTGGCTTCAATGCCATAGAACCACAGCACAGACCTTCAAGGGGTTAAAACTACGTATTTGGCATTGTTACAAAGATGGAGTGGCTATGCCATGAAGATAGTAGCCAAGAATGTCTCACTAGAACTGAAGATGCAATAACAATAATAATAGTTACAGATTTTTTTTCAGCAAATTATGTAAGAAACACAATGCATATCATATCAACAAAATACATATAATCAGAGTAAAACAAACTGACAATTATGAAGCCAGGTGGGCATAAAGGAGTATACAACGATTACTAGCATCACTTGCTCTCAAAAGGGCGTGTTGCACGAGAATGGGAGTGTTGCTGTTATGTATTCTACTTCACCAGTATGACGACAACTTGTACACAATGTAAGGTGTTTGTATTGCGGGGAAAATGCTTCACAATTGTATGCATAATGCAGGATGCACATGTATCAACACACCTAGTGGCCAGTGCACATGTATCAATACGTATTAATCCGAGCACCCACCCAACACACTGACACCATATACGTACACATTTATGGAGCACCCTCCCCACCGTGTTTTATAATAATAATAATAATAATAATAATAATAATAATAATAATAATAATAATAATAATAATACTAACATTGTATCATGCTGAAATAAAATTATTATTCTTTCTTTCTTTCAACACACCGGCCATATCCCACCAAGGCAGGGTGGCCCAAAAAGAAAAATGAAAGTTTCTCTTTTAAATTTAGTAATTTATATGGGAGAAGGGGTTACTAGCCCCTTGCTCCCGGCATTTTAGTCGCCTCTTACAACATGCATGGCTTACGGAGGAAGAATTCTGTTCCACTTCCCCATGGAGATAAGAGGAAATAAACAAGAACAAGAACTAGAAAGAAAATAGAAGAATACCCAGAGGGGTGTGTATATATATGCTTGTACATGTATGTGTAGTGTGACCTAAGTGCAAGTAGAAGTAGCAAGACATACCTGAAATCTTGCATGTTTATAAGACAGACAAAAGACACCAGCAATCCTATCATCATGTAAAACAATTACAGGTTTTCATTGTACACTCACTTGGCAGGGTGGGTGGTTGCTGTTTACCAACCTACTACCTAGGAAAATTATTATTATTATATAATAATAATATTATTAATAATAATAATAATAAATAATAATAATAATAATAATAATAATAATATAACACAAATAACCCGCACATAAAAGAGAGAAGCTTACGACGACGTTTCGGTCCGACTTGGACCATTGACAAAGTCACACTAACAGAGGTGGAGCAGGACGGCTATATATAGGCAGGAAGAGGTGGAGGTAGTAGTAGTAGTACAAGAATTGTATATAATACCGACAGGATGAAATGACACATGCACAACACCCGGGCATCCCCACCGTAGACGTTTCGCCATCCAGCCAGCCACTGGATGGCGAAACGTCCACAACAAAGACAACCAGACGCCGCACATGTGTCTTAATTTCATCAGTAGTTGTAGTAGAAGAAGAAGAGGTAGTAGTAGTGGTAGTGGTAGAAGTGGGAAATAAGGAAGACGAGCCAGTCAAATACAAAGGAAGGGGAGCACTGCAAGAGAGCTAGAAACCCACAGAGGGAGAGCAAGTGCACCGAGGTGCGTGAAAGGGGAAGTGGTGAAATAAAATAAATGAAGAAGGAACAGAAACACGAGACAGGAGAGAGAAAGACAACCCAGAGGAGAAAAGGAGAGAGGAAAGGGGAAGAGGAAGAAGAAAAAGAAGAGAAGAAGAAGAAGAAGAAGAAGAAGAGAAGAAGAAGAAGAAGAAGAAGAAGAAGAAGAAGAAGAAGAAGAAGAAGAAGAAGAAGAAGAAGAAGAAGAAGAAGAAGAAGAAGAAGAAGAAGAAGAAGAAGAAGAAGAAGAAGTAAGAAGAAGAAGAAGAAGAAGAAGAAAGAATGAAGAAGAAGAAGAAGAAAGAAGAAGAAGAAGAAGAAGAAGAAGAAGAAGAAGAATGAAAGAGGATCAGGTTAAGTCACGGGTGTTCTGAAGTTTGGAGCATTTTACAATGTAGTGGGAGAGGAAGGCATCTACAGAGACGAAGCCAGGGCTAAGGTTCAATACAAGGAAAGTTGTGTATAAGAGAGGATTCACTAAACGGCGACTGTTCGAGTTGGAAGTAGGGAAGACAGTTTTAGCAGAAGACCAGTCAATAGGATGGCTATGATCTCTGACGTGACAGAAAAGAGCATTGTTAGTGTCGGCAAGCCTAACACTATTTTTGTGCTCCTAAGTCTGTCAGAAAGAGATCGACCAGTTTCTCCGAAGTATTGAAGAGGACAGGAGGAGCAAGAAATAGAGTAGACACCAGGAACATCGTAGAGGAGGAGAGGTATGAACGAGATTAGTGCGAAGAGTGTTAGTCTGGCAGAAGGTAAGCTTGATGTCTAAGGGACGGAGAGAATTGTTGAGATTAGAAAGACCGGAAATGTAGGGAAGGCAGAGGATAGAAGAGTTCCCATGAGTAGAGAGTTTGGGAGAGAAGAAATTCCGTTTAGCACGTGAGAGGGCAGAGTCTATGAAATGGGAAGGGTAGCCAAGACGGGAGAACGAATTATGAAGAGTGGAAATTTCTGCTGGAAGAACTGAGGATCACAGATGCGGAGGGCACGGAGAAAGAGGGAGATAAGAACACTTTTCTTGACAGGGGAAGCTTCTCTCTTTTATGTGCGGGTTATTTGTGTATCGTTCCAGTCACGGTATTGTGCCTTTTTGTTATTTATTAATAATATAAGTGGGTGTTGCCATAAGCTGTGCATCTCTCTCTCGGTTCTGTCTAGAAACTTCCCAAAGTTTTTCTAAGGAGAAAGTGTTGCAGGAAATTAAATGTGCTACACCAGGGAATACTAAAGTTATAAGAAAATGTAATAACCCTATTGCTGACATGGAAAAACTTTTGCTGGAGTGAGTGAAGATCAAACCAGTCACAACATGCCTTTAAGCTGAGCCATTATCCAGTCCAAGGCCCTAAGTCTCTTCAATTCTATGAAAACAGAAAGGTGAGGAAGCCAGTGAAGATAAATTTGAAGCTAGTAAGAGGCTGGTTTTATCTCTTCCTGACTTTCTACAATAAATACTACTCGCCTCTCACCCTACATTAAGGACAAAAATATTTTAAGGTAAGTAATGAGTGTACTGTATATGCATTTTACTTTTTTATTGTTTTTTTAGGCCTAGTTCTATTGCTAACTTAACC